CAACAAAGATGGCTAAGACAGATTCTACAATAAACAATAAACGTCTTCCGAAAGGGTCAGAATGTAATAAAGATTAATTATGTACACACACACACACACATACACATACATAAATATATTTTTTTTCCGCCGCGGGAGGGGGATTCCCCCTACCCCCCCCCCCATCCCCCGAAAAAAATCCTGGCTACGCCCATGATTATTACTATATTTACTGTTTTGGAGTTGATGAACTATACATAGCACATACGCACCGTAATGCAAATGGACGCTTGGATGTTAGCATTAATTAGGCTTGGGATTCATTCTACAAATAGGCCCTCATCTATATATATATATATAGGCCCACACTAAATTGTCCAACAAGCAAACGAGAGATCCGCATATGCCTTTTTATACAGGAATAGGTGTAATAGAAAATTTGAGCGAATTTCTAGTTCTATATTTTTTAAAAAATATTCCTCTAATATTTTCTTATCCTTTCAGCTGTTCAGAAATGTGTTGACAATGGAACGAGGTGTCTCGTTGACCCTTGCCTGACAGCGAAATGTTCTGTTGGATTTGTTTGCACGTAAAAATACATGACTTTTCTTATTTAGATCTTCTTAACCGTAGACCCTTGGTATTTAATAAACTGATGAAAGATTAGATCAGTGTTTCCCAAACTGTGTTACGCGGAACCCCAATGTTCCGCCAGGCCTGAATAGGTGTTTCGCGAATTAGTGGAATAATTAAATAATTAACTAGTATGCTACCACGTGAATTAATGTCTCTAAACAAAAATTAGCAAAATACTCAAAATGTGCGAAGTGTTCTCTTAACGAAAAAGTTTGGGACACACTGGATTAGATGACCGACCTCATTGCTTTAAGATCAAATGTTCAAATAGCAGTATGCATTTTAAATTCTAATTTATAGAAAATTACAATTTAAAAAAAAGTAAATCCACTTAATTTTTTTTCTTACGTACATTGCTAATGTGGTTATCTATGCATGCATAATATGTGTGTATAGTTATTTCAAAATTATATTTTCTGTCAGGAACTGTAACTGTGTAGCAAGTTGCGTGAGTTCAACCACAAAGGGGTGATCAAAGTTATCTAATATGAGGTCAAGATTAGTCTCCTGTGTAGATATATACATTAGGTCTTATTTTTTGTTTTAACCAACTTTTTGTGATTGAAATTCAAGCAAATAAATATTTCTGAATAAAATTATATTTACAAAATTACAAGCATTTAAATGTAAATGTCGATACTTGGTGGCTTATAAAATAAAGCATTAATCGCAATTACAACCAATAATCATATATTACTCTTTTATTATTTGTTTTACAAGAAAATTGGAATTTTAATAAGAAATTTTGTTATCGAACGAATTGCGTAATTACAACCAACCAGGTGTTTAGACTAATTTACATTAGGTCTGTCTTGTGAGTGTTATTTTCTAACTATACCTTGTGTTATTTTGTATCTTTGTCTTGTGTTATTTTCTATCTCTGTCTTGTCTTATTTTCTATCTCTGTCTTGTGTTATTTTCTATCTCTGTCTTGTCTTATTTTCTATCTCTGTCTTGTGTTATTTTCTATCTCTGTCTTGTGTTATTTTCTATCTCTGTCTTGTGTTATTTTCTATCTGTCTTGTGTTATTTTCTATCTCTGTCTTGTGTTATTTTCTATCTCTGTCTTGTCTTATTTTCTATCTCTGTCTTGTCTTATTTTCTATCTCTGTCTTGTGGGGTTCTTTAACACGCTTCTTTCTTATTCTCACTTCTCATTCTTGGATCAAGTTGACATTTTGGCAATTATTCATTGGCGATGGTGGCGTGATGGCCGAATGGTACAGCGCTTGGCTTCCGAACCGAGAGGTCTAAGGCTTGAATCTAGGTGAAGAATGGGATTTTGAACTGCGGGATTTTAGGATGCCTCTGGGTTCACCCATCTCCAATGGGTAACTGACAGTTGAGGAAAGTACAAGCGGTTGGTCGTTGTGCTGACCACATGACACCCTCGTTAACCGTTGGCTCTTCTGGAAAACGGACAAAATATAACAAAATCACAATATAATTTTAACTGATCTATATTATGACCTCAAGTAATTCATTAGTTTGAGGCGCGAAAAGCTTCTTTCACTAGATTCCACAATTACGCGTATTGCATAATGCCATTTTTTTATCGCACGTAGGATTGACCCAAGATGACAATTTTTGACATCTACAGCTTAATATTCATCAGTGGAGTTCGGTGCGAAGCCCCGACGCCAAAAGCATTTTCTTGCATAATTCACTTCAGAAACGCATTCTCCTGACATCTACAGCTTATTATTTATCAGTGGAGTCGGGGAATGTATAGGCCCTTAATACATTGCAAATAAAACCGATTTGTTCCTTGAAAAGATAAGATACCCCACATATTTAGATTAAGGCTTTGAGGATCGCCGCCGAAAAAAAATGTTTTTTCGATAAATAATATTCAATAAATTCAAGTGTAAATTGTGAGTTTTAGTCCCAAATTTATTTAACTAAAAAAATATGAGATTGAGTAAAGGTTGAAAAAGGCGACTAGAGAACTATTATTTCGGTCTAGAACTACATCTCAATCGTGACTCTTATACTGAAAAATTTCATTTGAATTCTAACTTTGCCAAAGCAAAGTCTTTCTTAAAAGAGTGGGAGGGGCAGTACATGCGATTGCCCCCTCCCCCCCCCCCCCCCCACCGAATCGGCCAAGATACAAGAAGTGTGGCGAAATAATATAAAATGTATATATTAATTTAACAAATTTCGTTCACAAACTATGATTTCTCCATAAAAGTAGGACCGCACCCCCCCCACACACACTAAAAGGGTTTAGGTGGGAAGGGCAGTAGAGGTATTCATCCCCCCCCAACCACCCAATCGACCAACAGGGGAACGACATAATATAAAGTTCGGTTAAAATATCAATAACAAGTTTTAATCATATAGATATTTAAATGGTTCTGTTAGCAAGCTGTGATTTCAGCAAATAAATTGGACCGCCCCCCCCACTCGAAAGTTTATTGGGGGGGGGGGGGCTGGATTGATGCCATCGCCCCCTCCCGACCCCACCAAATCGGCCAACATGCTAGAGGGGAGGGGCTAAATAATCTAAAAATAGATTGAAATATGAAATATAAATAATTAGTATATATTATTAACATACGTAATAAATTCGTATACAAATTGTGTGAATTCTATACTAAAATTCGTCCGCCCCCACCCTGAACGGGGGGGGGGGGTTGAGTGGAGGGGGGGGGGGCGATCGCCAGTGCCTAAGGCCGGCCCTGCAAAATAGCGGCGACTAGTTCTTTTTATTTTGCTAGTTTACAATTAACTTATACAAGCTAAACGTATAGCCAAACAAAATGTTATTTTAAAAAAAAAAAAGAATCGCTAATACATGTTATATGGTTCAACGTTGACGTCTGTGCTAGATGGTTATAATAAAACTATAAAAAAAAAAGAATCACTTCCTAAAATTTGTCTTTTCCTACATTGAGGAAAACTAAAAAAGTAAAAAAAAAATAATAATTGCTCAGCAAAAACAGAGTTGGTGTAATATTAATTTTTTTTTAATTTGCTGGCTAAACGATGGACTAAGTAAACACACACACTAGAGGTTTTAGGATTAGGATCTTTGAAAAGCATAGCGACTAGGTGATTAAAATCAGGTCAAGATGAATAGCAATGCAAAATAAAAGTGTAACATCTGCGCGATAAAAATAGAGCTTATTGATGATCATCAATAAAAAAAACTTAAGCTTAACATTCCATCTGGGCCTATATATATATAATTAATTTTCACTGAGGAGGCACAACAGAGATATGGCTGCATTTAAATCTTCCTGTTAAATACCGAAACTGTGGTAATAAAAAAAAATGGAATTATTATTTTTAGCATTGCCCTCAAAATGAATGGTTAAAAGTGGATTTAGCGATGTAACAAACTTAATGAGTAAGCAAAGAAACAGGCTACATGTAGCCACTGGAGGAGACCTTCGTCTTGCTTTCACTAAATTAAAGCTTGACACTTCTAATATTGTCAAGCTGCATGAGGTACAAGATTTCCGTTAGCTGAAGTTACGTCAACAATAATAATACCTGTTATATAGCATATAAAATTCAAATAAGGCCTAGTAATAGTTAAAAATGTAAAACTATTGCACTCTGAATTAAGCAAATGAGAAAAATATTGTTATAACCCTGCCATGCACACCGCCATCCAAGATCTCGTTGAGTTGCCTCCCTTAAGTTATTACAATATTTACGTGAAATCTCTAGAAGTTATTTTTCAGATTTTTAAAATAATAGTTTAAAAAATTGACAATCTGTTAGTGACAGAGTGAAAATCAATCAATAAATGGCTTTTGATTTCAATGTGCGTTCTCAATCTTCATTACTGCTGCTTGTCCTGTAAGGGGGATGCTGGAGTTTCTTTTAATGAGAAAATATACGAAAAGGGGGAGGGGGGCGCATGAGTCAAAAAGGTTGAAGACCACTGTAACACTGTTATATACTCTGCTTCAAAGAACGCAAGTTCTGAAAGGGAACCCTACTAATACTGCTACATCTGATGAGGATCAGATATGTTACTACATCTGATGAGGATCAGATATGTTACTACATCTGATGAGGATCAGATATGTTACTACATCTGATGAGGATCAGATATGTTACTACATCTGATGAGGATCAGATATGTTACTACATCTGATGAGGATCAGATATGCTGCTACATCTAGATCCAGTACCAAAGTATTTCATAGAATCCACAAGGCTTTAGAAGGAATACAATACACAAGTCCTATAACCTGATTTCCACTTGTTAAATAAGTTTTGTGTTTTCAGTGCTATTCAGCTTTTCAGCCAAGCATTTTACTGTTAAATTGAACGAAAGTTCAAAGGTTACACAATAAAATGTCTCAGCTATGTTTTCTAATAAACATAAACACATGAACAAAAAACTTTAAAAAAACAAGGCAAAATATTTTGTATATTCAATTTATTGCAGCCAAAAAAAAAAAAAAAAGTTTTTCATTTTTTGTACGAGTTTACATTGATAGTATAAGACAGAGACTTTATACATGGCAGCATAAACAATTCAAAGACCAGACTTAGTTACAGAATAAATTAAATCAAGCGAGTGCAAGGTACAGCAAGGCAAGGACAATGTGACTACAGCTTGCCACAAATCTCATTTACATTTATAGTTACAGCACAGGACAAGTCTGATTTCTTAATACAAGATATCCTCTTACAGAATGTATGACATAGTAGACAATGACAAGTGTCATTATAGAGTTCAAATGTCAAAAGAATTTCTAATGTATGGTACCGTATCTCTATTTTTAAATCTTGTATTCAACAGAATCTAGCCCTTGTTACACTGCATGAATTGCAATAAAAAAAAGATTGTGGACAGATCATGGGTGGTGCCCCAACAGTCTAGGATACGGGTGAAGTTGATACTACAGAATTAAAATGATTGATATCTGACTTGATGTGACCTCAACAAATGTGGATGACTTATGTTTTCTTTGAGAGTTTCTCTAAACTGCTGTCTAGTTGGCAAAAGATGATGTAGTTATGCTTTAAAGCTTGCCACTATGTCTGTAAGTACACTCAGAAACATTGCATAGATCTGAACTAGGCACTACACTCATGCCAGATATGCACATCATATCTTAAGAAAATTTTTTTTTTATAAGGGGTCAAAATGTGTTCTCTCCGATTTCTATTCCCCTGATGAATTACAATTTAAGTTTCTATAAAAAGTTAATCTGTGAGCCCTACTATAGTACCATAGATGTACTATTGTAACATGGCCATGTTATTGTACCATAGATGTACTATTGTAACATGGCCATGTTATTGTACCATAGATGTACTATTGTAACATGGCCATACTATTGTACCATAAATGTACTATTGTAACATGGCCCAACTATTGTACCATAAATGTACTATTGTAACATGGCCCTACTATTGTACCATAGATGTACTATTGTAACATGGACATACTATTGTACCATAGGTGTACTATTGTACCAAAGCTAGATAAACTGAAATGCTATACTTGATTCAATGAACTATCCCACCAGGGAGATGAGATGTACATTTCAATGTATTTGGATCTTCTTTAACTACAGACATAGAAAAGTGAGAACTTGCTCTTTCCTCAATCAGGTTTTATCTTGGAGGAACAAAAAATCTATTTTTAAAAAAGTTGACATTTGACCAAAGCCTGACAGAGCAACACAGAGCCAAGCCAAACATTCTACCAGGAAGCAATCACAATAGAGATATGTTCAAAATTCAATGTACACACACGCACAAGTAATGGAATGACATCATGGTAAAAGTTATTATGCACAGAAGAAATGACTAACACATACACAATCATTTGTAGTGATTATGTTAACTTTTTGTTTTGTTACTTAGCTCAACAAAATTGTAGATTTTTTTTTTTTGGAAAAGGGGGTGGTGGTGAACTAATGCTATCCAAATAAATTTGTTTTGTCTAAAAGGTTTTTCTTTCTCAAGTGAAATGCTGAAATGATCTTTTAGTCATTTACTTAACCATACAGAATCTCTAAAAGCCATGCAATCTGTTATTAGGGTATGCATTTAATTGCACACATTACTTTATTGTTGAAAATGGCTTAACAATAGGACCCTGCACTTTTTGCTCACTGATTAGGGAATCATTTAATACATTTCAAATAAAACCTTTAGAAACAAAGTCACTAGTTCATTACAAACTATTGCACAGAATGGTATATAATATACAGTTCCATCTTTAGATCAACTCAGAAAACTACTGAAAATTCTTTTTACACTGACAAACCTTCCACACTGAGTCATAATGATACAAACAGAAAATACTATACAAAAGTTCTATAACTGAATCAACTCGGTGCAAAAAGTTCAATCATGCCTGAAAGTAGAACAATTTGCAATAACAATGGAACCAATGTGATCTAATGCAGGGTATTAAATAAATATATGCATAATATCTCAATACATGTATAGATATAGTTCACTAAACTAGGACACCCCCACAGGTTTATGACTTCCACCTGATTTTCTATGTACAAGGCTTGTAATGATGACTTTTAGACATTTTTTTCTTCTATTTATTAGAACAGTTTAAGTGGTTTACACAGATCTTAATGACCATTTGAAAAGATTGTGGTTAGCTCATGTTATATGATTAAACAAAAGAAATTACAATCAGATACCGGTACACTAACTGTGACATAGGAAATCAAGCAACTGGCCTGACACTGAATTACCAAACCAGTGATGGATTGTGACAGCTAGTATTTACAAAATAATCTCACTCAATGTTAGGAACAAACTCAGATGTGCAAATACAGTCATTAAGCAGTCACACTAAGCCTGAACCAACATAGGTCCACATGAACTGAATCACCAAACCTATATACAGACTAAGACTTGTTATGTCTGCACAGACTGACTTCTTTCCAAAGTGCATTTACTATGTTAAGGTTAGCAAATGACTCATCCTCAGTGACCTAGTTTATATTGCACTGGACAAAACTATGCATGAAACAAAAATATGTAAAAACTTGGATTCAACTAAAAAAAAACAAAAAACTTTCACTTTGTAAATATTTTGCTTTAAAAAAAAAAAGTTTGAAATTTAAAATTATTTTATTTGAAAGAAAAAACAAAACAAAAAACTGCTCCTTTTACAGCTACAACTGAAGATCAATTTTACCACCATTTCTGTAATAACTAGATTTATAGAGAGATTTTGCATTAATCACAATTGAACCAATATACTCCATTCTAATCTAAAACAAAATTGATTTTTAAAAAATAAAAAGTAGCCCAATCTTCAATAATATAGTCATGTAATGACTCAAAATATATTAACAGCCATTGATTTAATAAATGATATTTATGTCATCTTGAATAAATACAAATGCACAATAAATTTTTAGTTATTACATACAGCATTTAAAAATACATCAATGCAATATCTTATCTATGTAAACAAATGACATACATGTATACTTTTACATTGACCAGGAAATTATTATGAATAAGCTACAGACACAAAGACAGGTCAAGTTATCACATTTTAAAGCCAAACAATTGCACTTTTAAAAAAAAAAAGTATAGCCCACAATTCTTTTTGCCACTCAGCAATAGTCTCCCTTGCCTTGTAAAGTTTACACAAACATTCAACACACAATTTTTTTTTCCATTAAAATGTTTTAAGCTTATAAAAAAAATGTACCCACATCATTTTGATATGGTTAAAATGAATTATAAAACAGCTGAAAGGGAACATAAACTACAATCAACAGAACAACCCAAAAACTTTAAAGAAGCCCACATTTCATTGGCGAGAAAATTGTGTTCTGGTTTTAATATTTTCAGATACCAGGGGTAGTTTAGATCTAAGATTACATTCTCGAATAAATGGCATCATGAGGGTCATTGCACACCCTAGAGATGCCACTGTCTGAAATTTAATTTTCTTTAAACTATTTTCCAAACATATGTATTATGTTAAAGTATGGCCAAATGGAAATAGAAATGTAGGCAAACTCATGTTTCTGAAATGCTTTGTTGTATCATGACAATTAATTCCCTCAGTTTAGCTTGACTTATACAAATAAATAATATTTATTCACAATATAATCATTTCTAAAAAAAATTGTTTAAATATTTTGATCAAACTTTCAACAAATGTTTCTCCTCAAAGAGAAAAAAAGATGTTCTGAATCACTTAGTTTTGGGTAAACTACTATTCTCTTGTAAAGATGTCTAAATGTGTAATTTAATCATTTTATTCAAGAAATCTTTTTTTTTTTAAAGTCAAAGTGACCCAGCACTATTTTAAAAGGGATATATTAAAAAAAATGGCTACAGAAATTTTATTATTAGTCAGGAAATAATCAGATTATATGTAATGGTATACCATTGTGTTCTTTATTTAAGAAGATGTTTTCAATTCAAACAGAAAAAAACACGTTTCTATGTTTTTTAACCAAAACATACTGGTTTCCAGGACAATAGTGCAAAATGTGTCAAGAGAGTTATCCTCCCTGTATCTAGTATTTGGTGGTGACATCCTGAAAGAAAGACAAAGAAAGTCAAAATGTTGGACAAACCAGATAAAACATTGTCAAGCCAAGCTCTTAGTCAAAGTATCATGTAAGAGATGCTCTTTCAAAATCTAAAAATATGGGGTTGGCATAAAAAAATTTAAATATAGTGGTTGTTTTTTTTAAAAAGCTGTCTTATTTAAAAATACAAGTTTCCATGTGTTTTGTGTGTGGTTAAAAAGTCATATTTTTTGTGTGTGTGATTAAAAGATATTTTTTATTGACTACATGTGGTTGTAATATTGTTGCTTTCAGCTATTAATAAAATTTACAAATAAAATTTATTTTAAAAAAAAAGGGGGGGGGGGAGGGGGAACAACAATATAAAAATTTATTTTTTGGGGGGTTTTGACCTTCAACATGTTTACTTTTAAATAATATAACTGAAAAGTAAAGAAATTTTCTAGTTTGCTTACAGAATACAAATGCGGAATACAAAAAAAAAAAAAATAAATAAATAAAAAAACTACCAACATAAAACAATTTTTAAAAAGAAAAGTGTGCTTTGTAAATATAAGTGATAAAACATGGCAGTGATTGTAGAACCAAACAACCAAATTAGAATTTTGACAGAGCAAAACATATAAGTATTTCGCCACAGGACCAACCTAGTAATGTGATGAACAAAAACCAAGAGACCGTCTGCGGAAAGTTTAAAAAAACAAAAAAAATTTCTACAGGAAACAATATACACTTCAAGTAAAGCGGGAGGCAGTGTGCAAGTGGGCAGATCAGTCTGGGCTAGTCACCTGCCAGACAATTAGGTGGCTACGGTCAACTTTGGTTAGCGAGCTAGCCTTGCTGGTGTCATCATCTCCATCCATGATTGGGGGCGCTGATGTCACCTCTTCATCATCTCCTTCACCTAGAAACAGAAACAGATTTTAATTAGACTAAATTATTTATTTTAGATAGAACATTAGTTACAGTTGTATATGGATCACTGTGGGCGTGGTGGCTTAGTGGTAAAGCACTTGGCTTCTGAACGGCAAGTCTCAGGGTCTAATCTTGATGAAAGCTGGGATTTTGAACTTCTGGATTTTTAGGACACCCCTGAGTCTACTCAACTCTAATGGATACTTAAAATTTGTTGGGGACAAAAAGGTGGTTGGTCATTGTGATGGCCACATGACACCAATGGCTAAAGAAACAGATGACCATTACTTCATCTGACCTATAAATCGTAAGGTCTGAAATGGATATTTAAGAACTTTTATTAATGGGACCACAATAAATGATCATAAATAATTGAAAAGTCTAAAAGGTTGTTGTTTTTCATTTTATACTTTTCAGATACCCATGCAAAAGTGAAAATTATAATGTCCAAACTCACACACCTCTTGCAGCACTGCACAGGATGGGCAGAGTTCAAACTTTGGATCTTCATGATGACATTTAAAATGCATACCCACATTACCATTCAGCCAGATTGGTTAGCAGATAGAGGTAATCATGGCATGATCTATTTGAAAGTCTACTCAAGCATGGACCTTTAAGCGTCCTAAGTAGATTGTTCAATGATAGAGCACATTGATAACTGAACACTGGATCTGTTGTAGTCACAAGAATGAATCTAACAATGAGATAGAAGTAGTGGAAATAGAGAATGAGGTACAGTCGTACAGCATGACACATACATGCTAAAAGTGTTTCCTCAGCTGCTTTTTTTCTCACTTTTATCTTTTCATAGGTCAGCTAGTTGCACCAATTTCTCCCCCCCCCCCCTTTCCTGACCCCAAAAAAATATAACACCAGTGATTAGCAACCTTTTTTTTTAACTTTGATTTTGCTGGCACACAGGCGATCTTACATACATGGTCCTAAAAGAAGACACCCACCCAGTTTTACATAACAGGTACAAAAGTGTCCATAGCCAGAGGTTCAGAAAGATATTTTGTGGCGGATACAGTTAATGTACAATCTACAGGGGTGGGTGAAATCAGGGACATCTTCAAATCTTTAGCCTTGATCTCTGCTACCACCAAGACACCACTACTACCAATCAACTAAACTCTATTCTAATAAATAATTTCAGGTATCAAGCTGGCCTGACTTTCTTAAATATGTAATTCTATCCAATTAATCAAATTTTGACTTTGCCATTTTAAACCAGAAATCACAACAAAAAAAAAAAACAGTAACAAAAAAAACAATTATTTACCCAGCCTGAAGTCCACATAGCCTTCTCCTCCAGATAAAATAAGTTGGGTGTTTGTTGGTGGCGCAGGAAGTGCCTCCCCTTTTGGAGGTGGAGTAGAACTTGAAGGCAAAAGATCTGAAGCTGCACTCAGCCCTTGTCTTTGAATTCCTGCCAGAAAAAAAAATCAAATAAGGTTTAGACTCAAAGTAAGTCAAATGTAAAACTTAGAAACCAAGATAACGACAGAAAATTTGTAAATGTAAGTGAAGTAAAAACTGTTAAATTAATTACATAGCAGATAAAACAATAAGTGACCAAAATACCAAATTAAATTAAATGTACTTTAAAACTACTAAGGCAAGTGAGACTGAGGTTTGAAGAAAATAAAACCAGTTAAGTTACTTTTAAATAAATACAGGTTGTAAATACACACACAGATGAAAAATTTTTCAATTTTGAGAAAGCACACAAAAAATGTAGTCTCATGCTTTAAGTTGGTGAATATCAGAAAACAGAAATGCTCTAATATGATGAGAACTAGGTACTAGCAATAAATTTGTCAATTGTAAATCAAAACATATTACAATACAACCAACAATGTATTGATTGATGCATAAATATATATTTTGATTATGTAATAAAGGACACAAAAAGAATATAGGTAGTTGACATCAAGGATTGGATAAACTCAGCCTTCAAAGATTTCCACAGAATAGCAGAGGACCCAAAGAGGTGAGGTTGTGTAAGAATCAGCATTGGTGTCCCAACATACACACAAAAGGTTATGGGATATGTAATGCGAGGTAAAATACAGATTCAAACAAGACAGAAAAGTGCTTTAACTAGAATATAAAAAGGGAAAGAATGGTAGCCCATACCAATTCAACAATCAGACTTCATTAGCCGCTTATAATTATGACTTCCCTCCAAATTATCAACTTTCCCTGACCTCTTTTATGCAGACCCTATCTCAAACTAAACAAAATATTAGATTCTAAAAGTTACTAATATATATATATATATATATATATATATATATATATATATATATATATATATGCAGTATCCAGGGTCTATTTATTTTGTTAAGTGAGCAATAGAAGCTAGTCTAAATAGAATTAGATAAATAGATAATATATACAGTATCCAAGGTCTCTTTATTTTGTTAAGTGAATACTGGAAGCTAGTCTAAATAGATAAATGAATATACCCCTTTGAAGGTGGGAGCATGGTGACTGAGTGGTAAAGCACTTGACTTCCAAATGGATAGGTTCCAGGATTGAATTTCTGTGAATGCTGGGATTTGATTTATTTCTGAATTTTAAGGGCGCCCCTGAGTCTAGCCAACTCTAATGGGTACCTTACATTAGCTGGGGAAAGTAAAGCGGTTGATCAATGTGCTAGCCATATGGCAACTTCATTAACCATGGGTAGAAACAGATGACCTTTACCTCCTCTGCCCTATAAATGGCAAGGTCCAAAAGGTTCACTTTCTTATGCTAAGTATATGAAGGGACTAAGAATGTACTGTTGGACATAAATACTTGGGAGGACTCAAAACGTTTTCCAACTACCAATGAAACATTTAACATTTTCCCACATCTCTTCCCAGTGATGCTGCCAGCTCTACAACTTTTTTATACATTGTTTTCAATCAATTCTATTTTTTGACTAGTACTAAGCATCTTTTCCCATAAAAAAGTTTACAAAGATGATGACACTAGCATTGGATGAAAATCTCTGTCCTTAGAATGCAACATTTAGTTTAGAAAAATGCTATGTAGACCTACAATTGGGACAGGCTGGAGGTGTGGAAGTATTGCCGGGAGAAGTGCGTAGATCTAATAGAAGATTATAGAGGATTTTTTTATATTAATTTGAAGAAAAAAACTGTTTCTTTTTTAGCTCAGAAACTTTTTCAGACCACTCATGAATATTAGGCACTGGTGCATTTTTATCAAAGGCTTGATACCTTTAGTGCTAAAAATTGCTAAGGATTGATAATAATCTATAACTATATTCAAATACTAAGGCAACACATTTTTTAAATGCTGCAAGGCCTAGCTCCTCTGATACTGGATGTGGTGAAAACAATTTGTTTCTCCAGATACTGGATGTGGTGTAAACAATTTTGTTTCTCCAAGTCAAGAACTCAACCATAAAGATGTTAATTTCCAAAGCAATGTGACAAAATGAAAGATTCTTAGTAAGCTTTACCAATGTTTTGTTAACAAATACAAGCTAAAATTCCACTGATAATTTGTTAATATCTGTTGCATAATTGTTATCACAAGTTGATGATGATTGTTAATAACAATTAGTAAAAGTTGAAAATAAGCCCCAATGAAGGCTGAAATATTCCCAGGTTGTTGAACATATAGTTGATACATTATTATTTTTATTACTATTGTGCTGTGCTTTTTATTTTGTTAATGCATATCATATTAATTCTCTCTTTATATATATATTCATATTATACAGCATTTATCATGTAACACTCAAGTAAGAATAAATATATATGAAATGCCCTTGTTATTAAATGTTGATGAAAACAATTTTGCATAAATGCTTACTCATTATACTATATCCAGCAATAGAATAAGTATGTTATCAGCAAAGTAGGAAATCCAGCCATTCTTTAGAATGCCTACATGCCTAACATTTTCAGGCAAAGAATGAAATCTCTTGGTTATTTCATATTTAGCAACAGAATGACTATTATATAATACTGCTTTATAAAATGCCCTAATTAGAAAAATAATTATACTAATTAGAACAAATATTTAGAAATAAGAACATACTACAAATGAGAAATAATAATGTACAGGATATCTTAAGATAAAAAATAAATTGTATCTATTTCTTGAAACTGTTCAGTTTAAAACTAAGACTAAGGCAATTGTTTTCTTAATTGGTGGTTTATAATTATGAAAATTCCTTTTGTCATCTATTTCTCACATGCAGCCTAAAATCTCTCTTGATATCCTGCTCAGAACAGCTGCTGACCTGGAAAAGTGGAGGGACTTGAATAAGCGAACTGTCAAGGGCACCCCTATATGGAAAGTCAAGGGACAGATGAGATGTAAAAGGGACATTTAAATATTACTTCAGCAAAGCAAGTGAGTTTTGTAATGTGTTATCTGAATTCCAGTTTGACATGGCATGC